ACCCACTGAGGCTGTCCCCCACACAGTAGCCACTAGGGGAACCCTCACCTGTTGCCCTGTTCCCCAGAGGACTAAGGTCAGTGGGGCTTTTCCCTTCTCCATCCAGCTCCTTCATGCCAATGACCGCCCGAAGGGGCTGTTCTAGGCACTGGGGACACAGTGGTGAACAGAAAAAAAGTCTCTCTTCTCACAGAGATTGCTTTCTAGTGGCAGGGTAACAGAAACAAGCAGGTAAGTCCATGAGTCCTGCGGATAACAGTAAAGGAGGGTCAGGGAGCAGAGGGCAATCGAGCGGGACAGGGGGCTCTAAGGAAGGGTGTCCCAGAAACCCTCGCTGGAAAGGTTACCCTGAGCATAGATCCAAGTGAAGTATGGGAGTGGGTGATGAGGGTATCTGGAGAAAGGACATTCTAGACCCTGGGCAAGGCACAGGCAGGAGGTGGGGTGGCCCGAGGCGAGTAAACAGGCACGGAGGTGAGAGTGCCTGGGCTTTGGTTTTGACTCTGAGTGAAGGGGAAGCCACTGGAAAGTTCGAAGCAGAGAAGTGGCATGTTTTACAAAGACTGTTCTGGCCACTGGACAGAGGAGAGTATAGGGGGCCAAGAGTGGGAAGAAAGAATCCTGCTAATAGGCCAGTGCAGGACCCGAGCAAGAGGTGGTGGTGGCTTTGGTGACTGGAGAGGTGGGGAGAAACTGTGAGCAAAGCAGCCCTGCTTGCCTTGGTCACTAGGATTTGCTGATCAGTTGAGAGTGGAACCTGTGGGAGAAGCCTCCTTGAGGGTCAAGTTCCTTCCCCGATCTTACATTTCTGGCTTTTTTAAAACTATGCTACATTAAGGTGTGAAATATGTCAAACATTAGCTACTAAGATACAGTATGCCCATAGACAAGCTCAGAAATTATTTTTGCCTTGAGTTATGTATATCAATTTCTGCTAATATTCAATTTAGGGCGATCAAACAGCATGACAGTTAAAATCTTACTTTAATTAGGTGTTAGTCTTCTTGATACAGTTATCAGCAATTTTAATGAATATCTATTCAGAGCACATACATTTAGAGGGCATATGAGCTCTGAAGTCAGATTTCATGAGTTCAGATTTTGGCTGTACCACATATAAACTACATGACTGTAGGCAAGTCATGTGACCTTTGAACCTCAGTTTTCTCGTCTATAAGGTAGAATAGTAGCCTTACCTACTTCATAACATTATTGTGAGGGTTCAATGAGAATAGTGCTTGCTTTGCACTGTGTTAAGTGCTCAACAAAGTTAGCAATTATTATTTTTTATTATCATTATTATTATTATTAAATCACAGAACAGGACCAGACTCTCTGAGGGCTGACATGGACCCCACTGTAGAATCACTTTTGTAGAATTGTCCCCTGGCCCTGCTCTGTGCAGTGGACAGAGGTCTAGTCCTGAGGACAGGGTATGGGAAGGAGAAGTCTGATCTATGCCTACCCCTCTTTGCTGTCCCTGCCTTCCTAGCTGGAACAGGGTCTGCAGGAGCCTGGAGAGGGTGGCCCTCTTCTGGATGCTCGGGGAAGTGGGGCTTGATATGAAGATGGCTGCTCTGTGTCCTGACCCCTTTCTCCTACACCATCACCAACCACACAGGAGATCTGTCTGTCCGACTCTCCCATGGTGATGACCTTAGTGGATGGGCCAACAGAAGAGAGTGACAATCTCATCTGCGTGGCTTATCGACACCAGTTTGATGTGGTGAACGAGAGCACCGGGGAGGCCTTCAGGCTGCACCACGTGGAGGCCAGCAGGGTGAGTGGACAGCTACAGGGCAGGTGGGGACGACTAGGGGTTGTGCCTTCCAGCTTTATGATGCCATGGTTAACAGGTTATGTATCATATCAACATCACTAGTTCAGCTGAGCCACGTGGAGTTGCCGTTTTTGTAGGTCAGAATGCTTCAACCTAATATAACTGTGCCGTTGCCTTGACCGGCTTTTCCACATCGCCCCCTGCCATTCCGTTCTTCCTAATAAAAGAGAACTGAAGAGTCAAAAGGCTAAATATAAATAAATAAGTAAATGGGAGCTTGTGTTTGGTCCCGCATCCTGGAAGGGCCTGTGGAGAATGAATTTGCTCTGCAAACTCACAGCTTGGGGCCTCGGCCTGTCTCCATCCCCTTGGAGGCCCACTGAGAGAGGAAGATGGAGGGAGTGAGAGAGAGCCACTCAGCACCCTCGGAGGGGGGTGTCCACATCCACTGGCCTGAGTTGCCGAGAGCAGTGATGTTTGCGCAAAAACCAGGGCCCACTCAAAGCGGACTGAAGCTCTAGAGAGAACTGTGTGGACTGAACATTAGCGCCCCTGGAGGACAGTGAGCGCGCACCACCCTGAGGGCTGGTGACTTGCCTGTCCCTGGAACTGCTCCCCGCAGACGACTTAGCAGCTCCCAGAGCTCTTGGCCTGTTCCTCGCTCTGAAGCGGGGAAGGCCTGATGTGAAAACACTGAACCACGCAAAGTCTGCGCAGCACAGTGCCGCACTCCAGTTTAGGGACCAGGACACTGTGGAATGGGGACCCAGCCCCCGTTCAGCGAGGCCAAGACTGCAGAATTATGCTTCATAAGAAATAAAAAATACAACTTGGATCAGGACGTGCCCTACATAAATATTCATTAAAACCACTAATTACTGTAGTAAGACAACCCTTCACGAGAGCCAGATTTTAAGAAATAGGAAAATCAGAAAAAAATCTAGATATAATTAGGCCTTCTTGTCCTCAGCTATTACCCATCACAGATCAGTCTGTCTTTCTCTCATTTGTATGTTGCTGGTACCCATACTTGGCTGCCAATGGAGTCATCTGAGGAGCTCCCAAAGCTACCAGTGCCCTTGCCCCCTGAGAGATTTCGCTGGTCTTGGGTGTGGCCTGGGCTTTGGAATTTTTAAATGACCCCCAGGTGACTGTAATGTTCAGACAAGTTTTGAAACCAACTGGTATACACCTTCTCAACTCTGGCTGTGATAACTGTGGCTAGAAAGCTTTAAAAGGATCAGTGCTCTGCCCCAGAGCCCATCAGTTACATCAGAATTTCTGGGTGTGTGGTGCTTGGGAATTGACTATTTTAAGCCCCCCCCCCCCAGGTGATGCTAATTTAGACCTAGTAGAAGGAGTCTCCCCTGAAACTCTTCCTAATTCAAAGCTGGGAGGACTCCCTCTGCGTCCCTGCTGGGACGAGGAATCCCACCCAGTCTGCTGACCCTCAAGGGGAGGGGCTGGGCATGGCCTGTAAAGCGCCCCCCCCCCCC